CTTCTGTATGTTACACATGAATTTGTTATAATTTAGTTCGGATATTTATCATTATTCTCCCTAGACATTTTATTAGGTTCGGTTAGTAATATAAAACTATAATGGGAGTCTTAGTTAATAATTTAAGTTATATGGTGAAAAATAGTTTTTTTATTATATGATATTAAAATCTTCACGATCAAGTAATGATAAATTTCAATTTTATTATATTTTTAATTTTTTTGATAAAACATAAAATAATACGAGAATTTATAACTTTTACACCAAAACAATTGAATTTGATTGTTAAAAAATAATATAAAATTATTATTAGAATTTCAACTAAAAATTTAAGTTATTAGGTTAAACATTTAATCTTTGAAATCAATTTGCTAGTATAATTAAATTTAATTATAATATTTAATTTAAATTACATTGATAAATAAATTGAATTTACATATTTAAAAATATAAAATTGCATTCATTTTATTTCCCATCACCTCTATCTTATTCTTTCAAAGGTTTCTTTAAAAAAAAAAAAGATAGGTAGACGTTTATTTTGGGAAGTTGAAATTATATTAAAATCTTTGAATTCAATTCAATTTAAAGGATTCCAAAACATGTCAAAGAAAAACATTAACAAAAGCATAAAATAAATAAATAAATTTGTTTTTAAAATAGTTTTAAAGTAAATTTTTATATTTTTAAAATAAACGATATAAAAAAATATTTTCTTGTCTCTATTTTTTATCATTCCAAAATAGTAACAAAGTTTTTAATTTTATTATTTATTGTCCAGGTAAGTTTTCTTTTGAGACACGTCCCATCATTTACCGTATCATTTGTATCCCTAATAAAAATAGGTATAGAACCACACCATGGATGCATGGATAAATTGGATCACTCTTCAATTATATAATTTTTTTGTTTATCAATTCAAACGCATTACTGTTACTGCTATAACTATAAACTTAAAATGTATAAACTCTTACGATGAACATTAATGCAGAATAAATACTTTTTTCTGTTTTAATAATTAAAATTTATTTTATAACTTTACAGTTTTTTAAAGAATAATTTATCATTCATTTAAAAGTTAATAGAAGTGTTCTTTTCATATCAACAATAAATCCTCTAATTTTAATTAGAGTTACAAAACCATTTTAACAAGTCAACCAAAAATTTAACTGATACAAGATTTAAATTGATTTAAATTTATTTTAAAAATAAATTAGAGAAGAAAGCAGTCTAGTATAATCATGTTAAAATTCATGTATATTTTCTTACAAAATTTATTTTTGCAAAGAATTATTTATTTATTTTTAAATATAAATCTTCAACTAAACTTGAATCATCTTAATCTAATTAATATAACATTTGAATTGGTACAAGATTTTTTAAAAAAATAAACTAGAGGGTGTAATTTAATTAGGTTAAAATTAGCTGATTTTTATTATAAAATTTATTTTATACTGATTGTTTTAATTTTTTTTTAAGTAAAACTTGAATTATTTTTTTATTAGAATTCATAGTTTATATAAATCAAGTTTTAAAATTGTAATTCTGATTTGAATACTCTATTTTTAATAACATTAAAAATACGAACTAAAATCAAATCCAAAGATATCTTTTATTAAAAAAAATTCATGAATCATTCCAAGAATTATTTTTTGAGTTATGAAAGTAGCTCATAATTCTAGACAATCAAAGCCCAAGTTGCAGGTTTTGCTACTAAACTAATGAAAGACTCCGGCCACTTGATCGCAAACCACAAGCCGAAGCAGCCCATAGAAAAGGGAGAAAGGTATCTCAGACAGACAAGAGAATTTGTCTAGATCTCAGTTTGGAAAAAGTTACATACACAGTCAGCTAGAGAGAGAGAGAGAGAGAGAGAGACTCGTGTCCATGTCCTAAAAGAGAATCTAGTCTACTCATCATAGACTTAATTGCACTTAGTCCCTATAGTTTATTAAGACTAATTGATTAAACCTTGTAGTATATTAAAATAATTAAATAGTCCTCGGTTAATCCATTGGGTCCCCCCCCCCCCCGTAAAATCCTTCTTTTCTAGTTAAATTTCTTCAGCTTGCCTCCTTCTATTTTTATATTTATATTTATCAAAAAACACAAATAAATTAAATAATAACATAAATTTAACTCAGGACCTAGACAACCTAGAACTGATCCTTAGATGGATTTTAAAAAAGAAATTAAGAGAAAATTGATCTAGTTAGCAATTTTATCAAAACTCGATTTAATTTTTTTATTTTATTTTATAAAATGATGTATTTTTTACTTTAAAAATTCAAATAATATTATTTTTTAATTACCTTAGATTTAATCTACCTAATTTATAACATAATTTTTGGATTGGATTATAGATCAACCGGGTTTAATAGCTTTGATTTAAAAAAATTGCCTTAGTATAAATTTATGAAACTACAAATACTAATGAGTCAGGGTTTCAGACTATAAGGAGTAAGCTGTAGTTTACCCATTCATCAGATAGCGAAAAAAGTCTTCTTTCTCAGTTCTCATCACTAGAGAGAGAGAGAGAGAGAGAGAGAAGGAGAGAGGGATTCTAGACCCAAGACTGACGCTTTTTCTTGAGTCCTTTTGAACCCGCTCCAGGTTTTGAATCTCTAACCATGGATGATCAACCAAAACCCTCATCGTCTAGTGCTCCATCACTGTCATCAAGGCCTAAATGGGTGCTTCCTTACAAGACCCAGAACTTAAGAGACCATTACAGCTTAGGGAGGAAGCTTGGTCAGGGGCAGTTTGGTACGACTTTTCTTTGTACTCATAAAACCTCAGGAAAAAAGTATGCCTGCAAGTCAATACCAAAAAGAAAGCTTCTTTGCAAAGAAGATTACGAGGATGTGTGGAGGGAAATCCAGATAATGCACCATTTGTCCGAGCACCCACATGTGGTTAGGATTAGTGGGGCATACGAAGATATTTCTTGTGTTCACTTGGTGATGGAGCTTTGTGAAGGAGGTGAGCTTTTTGATAGGATTGTTAAGAAGGGGCATTATAGTGAAAAGGAGGCTGCTAAATTGATGAAAACTATTGTTGGGGTTGTTGAGGCATGTCATTCACTTGGTGTCATGCATAGAGATCTTAAGCCTGAGAACTTCTTACTTCACAGTGTTGAGGAGGATGCTCCTCTTAAGGCCACTGATTTTGGGCTTTCTGTGTTCTACAAGCCAGGTCTGGTTCCTTCACTTCTTGGGTGTTACCTTTTTTCCCAATTTTTTAATGTTTTGCTTGTGTTTTCTTTGATAGGTTCTGTTTTTCTTCAGATTTAGTGTTTGTTTTGGTGCTATTGATTGAATTTAGATTTGGGTTGCCTGCTTTCTTGACTGACTTGATTAAGATTTTGATCTGGGATTATGTGTGTGTTCATTCACTGTATGTCCAAAACCCTCGTTATCATTATATTTACTACCTTAGTTGGGATTGATTTTTGATAATTGGGACTTTACTAATACAATTGATCATCATTAAGACACCAATGTCTCTGGCTCCAAATTACCCATTCTCTTGAAATGCCTTTGAATTGAACACCAAATGTTCAATGAGCTTGTTTCAAGGAGTGATTGATCCCTTCATTCAGAAATGTGGCCCTTGAAGTCTTGGACATTGACCATTCAAAATGAACCTGCATCATTTTTCTGGTCAAGCATGTCCATGCATTTAACAAGGGCTTTGAATACTTCCTTGTTTGAAATAGTTGATTTTATCTTGAAGTGGGGGACCCAATCTGGGCCATTGCATTGTTAGACAAAAGAGCCTTTGCCAAATATCGCAGCGTGCTCCCAGCAGTCAATGTTTCAATAATTAACCAAGAAATATATAACTACAATGTGGTTGTGCTTCAAAGATTTTGTTTCTTTTCCCGCGACCAAAGTTATTGATGCTCAATACTCTCCATTCTAGTACTCTAAGACGAGATAATTGCTTAGAATTAGTCACAAGTTGCTTGCCAGTACCTCATACGATCCCTTAACATGCTTGCACGAAGTTGATTATTTTTTGGTAGCTATTTTACTTCGAATGTGTTAGTCCTTGTGTTGAATGAATTAAATTTGATTCATTTTTTAGAGGTTCTAGCAGTGCATGCTTCACCTCTCTTCTCCCTCAACCATTTCAGTTATTCTTCCAGCTTTCCTTTCTTTTCCTCTTGTTGAAATCCTGAGTGTTCTCATCTTAAAGTTTTCTCAAACCTGATTATTAAAATCTCTCTTCTCAAACCTGATTATTAAAATCTCTCTCTCTCACCCCATCTATACGTGGACAATTTGGCCTCGTATAGGTTATCAGAGTCTTATACAAATGTCATTTACACATTTTCTTTTGGAAAAAAAAAAAACTCCATTGGTTTATTGTAAGCTTCTGCATCCTGGGAAACAATTTCTGTCTTATGATTTACAGTATGCGTGTTTGCCTGCATGTACCTGCAAACTTCATAACAATGATTCTGAATAAATAGAAATCTTCAAAGTGGATTGTAGTCAATTATTGCATCACATTTCAAAATTAAACTTTTTGCCCTCATTGCTCCGAAACCATTGCTATTTAACACAACCTTATCATCATTTAATATTGTTGTCTGCCTCAGTCTGACGCATACTTAATTATGTGGATTTTCAGGCGAAACTTTTTGTGATGTTGTTGGGAGTCCATACTATGTTGCGCCAGAGGTATTGCGCAAACATTATGGACCTGAAGCAGATGTATGGAGTGCAGGAATTATTTTGTACATACTATTAAGTGGTGTACCGCCTTTTTGGGCCGGTAATAATTCTTTTATTCCTGCGCTGATGGCAAATCAAGTTCTGGATAGGGATGGCTACTAAGAATTGAGTTTTTCTGCTACTGACTTTTACTGACAATAATTTCTTTCTTCGTTTACTCTGCTATAAATGTCAGAAACTGAAATCGGGATCTTCAAGCAGATATTGCAAGGCAAATTAGATTTTGAATCTGAACCATGGCCTAGTATTTCGGACAGTGCCAAGGATCTGATTAGAAAAATGCTTGAACGGAATCCAAAGAAAAGACTAACTGCTCATGAAGTACTCTGTAAGACTCTTCAATTTTCTTTAAACAGGAATTTAGGAGTATTAGGCTTAAACAAGTACCAGCACAGTGATTATTGATGGATGTTGCTACATCATGATACCTATGTGACCTGTGGTGCAGGCCACCCATGGATCGTGGATGACAGAATTGCCCCAGATAAACCTCTTGATTCTGCTGTTTTATCGCGGCTGAAACAGTTCTCTGCAATGAACAAGCTTAAGAAGATGGCTTTGCGTGTAAGGTTCTTGCAGATGTGTAGTAGTTTTCTTGGATTATATTATTGGTTCCGTTGAAAAAAACTATGACTAATCAACCATGTTGATTGTTAAGTAAACTGATTATGTTACCTCTAAAAAAACCAGGGCTTATTGATGCTTCAACTTTTTGCATGACAACTACTTTATTTGGGGGTCCCTTTATTGACTTCTTTGCTCGCATACATAGAGATAAGAGAAGTGTTTGCATGCACAGAGATTAGAAAAGTCAACAGTCCTTAATATCATATTTAACATGGTGTCAAAGTCATTTTCCAAAAGATCATCAACTTAGTTGTCAAACTCAGTACCTCACTCATAATGGATTCAATACGAACATGGAATGCTAAAGAAACATGAAGATAATATAAATAGAGTGATACTGGATATATAGTACTCTACTAGCTTAAGTTTTAGATCTTAGTTGTTTAACATATCCAATGAAATTTTAATTTTTTTCATTTGTTTGGTAACTCAGTACTCATAATTAATTTTGATACCTGGAACAAACTTGTACAGACTCACTTGCATGCACCTGCTCACATATGTGTGTATCTATGAGTGTAGCTATGTTTGTATGCTGTAATGCTGACCTCAACCTGAACTGATGCGTAGTGATTCTTGTAATGAATTTTAGGTCATAGCAGATAGGCTTTCTGAAGAAGAGATTGGTGGTTTGAAAGAGTTGTTCAAAATGATTGACACAGACAACAGTGGAACAATAACTTTTGATGAATTAAAAGATGGATTAAGGCGAGTAGGCTCTGAACTAATGGAGTCTGAGATAAAGGATCTGATGGATGCTGTAAGAGAACTTGCTCGAATCCTCTGTAGTTTCTGTCTTGTTTTTTTGACCATTCAGTTGACTTGAAAATGAACAAGTGCATGCTTTGTGGGTATGTTTGGCAGGCTGATATTGACAACAGTGGAACAATTGATTATGGTGAATTTCTTGCTGCCACTGTGCACTTGAATAAATTGGAGAGAGAGGAAAATTTAGTGTCTGCTTTCTCATTCTTCGACAAAGATAGCAGTGGATACATAACCATTGATGAGCTTCAGCAAGCTTGCAAAGAGTTTGGCCTAAGCGAGCTCCACCTTGATGAGATGATTAAAGAAATCGATCAAGATAATGTAAGTCCATTATGTAGTGTCATTTCAATCCATTTTTTCCCCTCATAAAATAAAGAATCTTGGAGCTTTACTCGGACATTCAGAAGCACATCACATTTGTTTTGGGAGTTGTAGGAGCTCCTGACTAACATGTGATGATGGAAATTGTGTTGCAGGATGGACAAATAGACTATGGTGAATTTGCTGCAATGATGAGGAAGGGCAATGGAGGAATCGGGAGGAGAACAATGAGAAGCACATTTAACTTGGGAGATGCCCTAGGACTCACTACCAATGGATCTAAAACATCTGATTGATGCTCAGATAAACTATGTTTAACTCTCTGCCATACTTTTTGGAAATATTGGCAAATCTTAATCTTTATGAATGGCCTGGCCATAATTTTGCATCTCTGTTTTATATATCCGACTGGTTTGCATGCGCTTCCGTAAAAGCTGGGGAGCTCGGGGACTTGGGGGTTGGTTAGGCTTCGTGAACCAACAAAGCTACAAGTAAATCCATACTGAGCATATGTGGGATGTAGACAGTGCACTGTTGCACCATCGTGTGTTACTGTGGCAGAGAAAACTACAAGTCAAGGAAGAAGATACTAAACAATATATTTTCAACCATACCACAACACATCGCCAAATATTTTCTCGTCAAATATATTGCCAAATATTTTCTTGTCAAATATATTCTTAAGTTATGTTTGTTTCTCGAAAAATAATTTTTAAAAAATTATTTTTTAAATTTTTTTATATTTGTTAGTTGGTTAATGAAAAATATTTTCTGGTTAACAAAAAATACTTTTCAGTTAATGGAAAACATTTTTTGTTCAACGAAAAATATTTTTTGGTTAAAAAAAAATTTGACTTAGTTTTTAGGAAAGTGTTTTTCTTTTTAGTTATGTTTGTTTTTCAGAAAGAGATTTCTGGAAAATTACTTTTCAAACTTTCATGTGTTTGTTTTTCAGAAATTGGTTTCTGGAAAATCACTTTCCAAACTTTCTTGTGTTTGTTTGTTGTTAGAAAAGTTAGTAAACGGAAAACACTTTCCAGTCAAAGGAAAATTTGGCTTGATTTTCAGGAAATTGTTTTCCTGAAAAATTTAAAAGGAAAACACTTTCTGGAAATTGTGAAAAATTTAGAAATGTTATTATTTGCTAATTATATCAAATTTGATCCTCAAACTTTTGATTGCTATATATATTTTGTTTTGAATATTTATTTTTTAATTTCATTTCTTAAAATTTAATTTTTATATTAATTTTGGTCCTCATTTTTATAATTGTTATTTGCTTTTCTCCTATTATTTTTTTATTGAAATTTTTTATCTATCAAATTTGATCCTCATTCCTTTTATTGTTACTTATTTTATTTGAAATACTTTATGAAATGTTAATTATTATTATTTTAATTTCTTCATCTTTTTTTTTAAATTTAATCTTTATTATTTTGATTATTATTTATTTTATTTTAGATAATTTATGAAATGTTTTTTTCAATTTCATTATTATTCAACCTTTTAATTTGTAAGATTTATTCCTTATTATTTTAATAAACTTGAGAAAAATAAAATATTAATAAATTATTTTCCAGTTCATTTTTCATAACATAACCAAACACTGGAAAGTGTTTTCCAGTTCATTTTCCATAACACTACCAAACATTAGAAAATACTTTACTTTTCAGGAATTTATTTTTTCTATAATTCACTTTTATGAAATTCACTTTTCCTGAAATTCACTTTTAAAAAAAAAATAATTTTTCTGCAAACTAACAAAGTCTTAGTATCTGAGCAAGTTCTTGGAACCTAAGACTCATTTACACTGGAAATTCAAGTATTAATTTCTTGTAAAGTTTCCACAACATATATTTTTGATTAAATACTATACAATAAGATATTCTTAAGGTATATCATACGTGGAAGGTGTGATATTAAACATTAATTCAATGGGATTAGGTACTGTTATTATCCCTGATTACAAGGTAAAGCACAGGGGATTGATGTGCCTTTATCATTTCAATTACTAAGGATTGCTACTGTAACAATATCTTCCACATCTACCATTGTTTTACAGTAATTTCCTTTCCCTTACACCTCCATTTTCTAAACCATTCTCTTTGTTTTTTTTTTTTTCCTGATTTGAGCAAAACCATCACGTAGTTGGGGAATAATTTTCAGGCACAGGTAAACTATATGTTCGTTATTTTTCTCATTTTTAAACCATACTGTTTTCCATGCTTAATTGTTTGATTTTTGCAAGCCGTATTGGTTATCCTAAACCTATTGACTAGCTGTGCAATTTGTTTTTCAAAAAAAAAGAAGGCGAGATGTAGATATTATAATATAAGGAAAGGAGCAATCTCTTTCGTATCATCATATATTCAGATCTGCTTCTTCCTTTTTTTTCATATAAATACTTACAAAATTGATCTTTTTAGGTGAATATAAAAGATTTATAATAGATTAACCCTAAAACAAACTTTACCTGATGAGTCAATCTGAAAACCAAGAATCCAAAGCTTAACTAGGACTGAGTTTTATTTTGAATCGGTTTATAGGTTAACATGATAAAATCTAGTTTGATCTACTGGTTGACTCAACCAAATCTAATTCAAAGATTTTTTTATTTTTTTTATTTAAAATAAGATAATATTTTTGGGTCCAAAACAACATGATTTTATTAGTGTAAAGAAGCTAAAATGTTACTGTTTTGGATTAATCTAACAGACATACAACACGGGATTTCAATGGGCAACTCTTGACTTACTATTTTAGGTTTAGAATGTTTTTTTAAAATTAATTTAACTTCAATTAATTACTTTTTTTGGTGAATATTTTGACATCCATTTATTGTTTTTATACTTTAGGCCCTCGTTACTGAACTTCGAGCAGAAAAATGGTTCGATCAAACGATCCATTTTGGAATGATGTTGAAGATATGAGCTACAATATCTCAAGGCGTATAGGTTTAAATCTTTCAAGTGAAGAGGATGAACTACATAGAGCTATGGAATTATCAAAAGAGCTAATGAAGAAAAAAAAATGAATTTTTATTTTAGATGATTTATGGAATTTTTTTGAGCTGCACAAGTGGGAATTCCTATTTTATTAAAAGGATGCAAGTTTATTATGACAACTCGATTAAAGAGAATTTGTCAACGGATAGGTAGCCAACATAAAATCAAAATGAAGCCACTTTCTAAGAGAGAAGCTTGGATTTTGTTCGTGGAGAAACTTGAACATGACATAACACTCTCTCCAGAAATGGAACGAATTGCAAAAGAAGTTGCAAGGGATTGCGCGGGTTTGCCTTTGGGAATTATTACAATTGCAGGAAGCTTGAGGGGAGTGGATGACCTCCATGGAGGAATACGTTAAAGAAATTAAAAGAATCAAAATTGAAGGACATGGAAGATGAGGTATACCAATTATTGAGGATTAGTTATGACCGGTTGGACGATTTTGCGTTGCAACAATGTCTCTTATACTGTGCATTATTTCCTGAAGACCATGTTATTAAAAGGGAGGAGTTGATAGGATATTTGATCGACGAGGGATTAATGGAAGGAGCAAGGAGCAGGCAATCAGCATATGACGAGGGCCACACGATGCTTAATAAACTTGAAAATGTCTATTTATTGGAAAGATTTATCTGTCAATCATGATGATACTAGAGCTGTCTGCATGACTTGATTAGGGACATGACCATCAAAATACAGCAAGAGAACTGTCAAGGCATGGTTAAAGCAGGTGCACAAATAAGAGAATTGCCGGCTGCAGAGGAGTGGACAGAGAATCTTACAAGGGTTTCACTAATAGAAAATCAAATTGAAGAAATTCCCTCAAGCCATTCACCGAGGTGTCCCAATCTTTCAACTCTATTGCTATGTCTTAATCAAGGGTTGCGATTTATTGCTGATTCATTTTTCAAGCACTTGCTTGGGCTCAAGGTTCTCGATCTGTCTTACACATTTATTGAAAAGTTGCCTGATTCTGTCTCTGACTTGATAAGTCTCACTGCATTATTGCTCATTGGTTGCGAGAACTTAAGGGATGTACCATCATTGAAAAATCTCAGGGCACTGAGGAGGTTAGATCTTTGTCTGACTGCACTTGAAAAGATGCCTCAAGGAATGGAATGTCTATCCAACCTGAGGTATCTTAGACTCCATGCATGTGGTGAAAAGGAGTTTCCTAGTGGGATATTACCTAAACTCTCTCACCTGCAAGTCTTTGTGTTAGAGGAGGAGATTCCTAGTGCTCCGATAACAGTCAAAGGAAAGGAAGTAGGGTGCTTAAGGAAGTTGGAAACTTTGGAATGCCATTTTGAAGGTTACTCTGACTTTGTGGAGTATCTCAAATCTCGGGATGAGACCCAATCACTGAGCACATACCAAATTTTTGTGGGACGGTTTGAGGAATACGAAATAAAAAGCTATTATAGAGGTAAAACTGTTTGGTTGGGTAACTTGGGTATCAACAAAGATGGAGATTTTCAGGTCATGTTCCCAAATGACATTCAACAACTGATCATTTTTTATTGTGATGGTGTTTCCTCCCTTATAAATTACGCAATTGATCTGGAGGTCATGGACAATTCTTATTGCAATAGCATGGAGAGCTTGGTTTCATCTTCTTGGTTCTGCTCAGCTACACTTCCATCTCCATCTTATAAAGGTATATTTTCATATCTTAAAAAGTTACATTGTTATGGATGTAGAAGAACGAAGAAGTTATTCCCTCTTGTCTTGCTGCCAAACCTCGTAAACCTGGAATGTATTAGAGTTGAAGAATGTGAAGAAATGGAGGAGATAATAGCAACAAGTTCAAATGAAGAAGGAAATATGGGTGAAGAAAGCAGCAGCAACGTCGAATTCAAACTATCAAAGTTAAGAATTCTGAAATTGTATGAATTACCAGAACTGAAAAGCTTCTGTAGTGCAAAACTGATCTGCGACTCTCTCCAACAAAATTGGGATAGTAAAATGTCAGAAGCTGAAGAGAATGCCAATTTATCTTCCGTTACTTGAAAATGGCCAGCCATCTCCTCCCGTTTCTCTTAAAGAAATCGAGATATATCCAAAAGAATGGTGGGAGTCAGTGGTGGAGTGGGAGCAACCTAAAGCTAAGGATGTCCTTCGTCCCTTTGTAGAGTTTTTGGGACCTGACGAATACGAGTTATCCCCCATATAGGTAGGCATCTTGTTCTAATTCCTCTCTCTCTCTCTCTCTCTCTCTAATTTAATTTTAGTGAATTAGCCTCAACCATAACCATTTCATGATTGATGTATGTATATTAGTAAGGAAGCAAGACGAAGACAAGTGAAACATTTGGAGAGCAACACATTCTGGCCAATTCATCTACAAGGTTTCCTCAAGACCTTTACACTCCTCGTTTTGTTGTTATCATCCCAACCTTAAAAAAATATTCTTATTGATTTACATGGCAAGAACCCCACAAATCCAAGAAGCTGACTTCATGTTTGTTCTTTATATCATACAAGTGAGAGGATGTCCTGCTATCCTTTGCGGCTTAAAAATCACTTTCTTAGTGGTAAGCCTTAATCCTCAGTCATTTTCTTCTTTGAGATTTCTTCTTTCCATCTCTCTGCTTCTTTTTTCTTAACTTGTATCTCCCTACATGCCCATTCCTTATGGTCTAGGAATCATGCTATCTTGTTGCACTGAAAGATCTAATCATCGACTTGCAAGGTAGGTAATTTCGTCAAATTTTCCTAGTCATGCTTGCTAGACCAGTCGTACTCATGATTTGTAACGATAGGTTCATTTTTTAAAGGTTTCCATCTATGATTCTTAATTTTGCAGCAGATGGCCACACAAACAAATTTCCATGTGGATTCAGTGCTGTGACAAATCTGATTTCTTCCTTTGTCTGGAGTTCATGAAATGCCTGTCAAATTTGATGTAAGCCTCTCCATCTTCACTCGATTATTTCTTTGGTTTGTACAAGTCTTGCATCTTTGGTATCTGTTTCCTTCAGCTTCTGGTTTGTATAAGTCTTCCCCCTGGCAGATGTTCTCCTAAGGACTCCTTCTTATCTTGATCTTCTGTTTTGTTTTGTCCTTGTGCCTGATTCATGATTGGTACTTGATATGACTCCCTAGTTTCTTGGCTGTTTTCTTTTCTAGCCTTCTATGTTATATTGCTGGTCTTCATCAGATTCTTTTCTTCACTTGCCTTTATAACTGGTGAATTAGCTATCATACAGTGCAGACTGATCGAGTATGGAGATGGAAGTAATAGGCGAAACATATAGTAAGGCAGATTGGTACATTGGACGAGGCAATTGAGTTAATTACAGGAACGTGACTCATGTAGCCAGACTTGTAGAAACGGAAGGTTGTGAGCAGTCGAAAGAGCATCTGTCACAGAAAGGTACAAACCAAAATAATAGCTTAAAAAAACGATAATAGAAGACTCGCCGGTTGGATTAGATTTAATTTTTTCTAGGTGATTTTATAAGTAGTTTTTAATTGAGAACCTCTGTTTTTTATTAGGCCATTCTCTTAAAATTAGACCTAGATGATGATGTTTGAGCTAATTTTGTTATTTTTTCTGGATTTATTGTTTTATTTTAGATTTTGTGTTAATCTCCTTTATGCTTTTGGATTTTGATTTGTTTCATAGTAGTGATAGTGTTTTTTTTTTTTTTTTTTGCTTATTTAAAGATCTTATAAACTTCTTAAAAGAACAAACATTATTATACTTATTTTTATAATAAAACTGTGAATTTAACCTTTTTTGCTCATAAAAAAACCATGTCTTCTCCATGTTTGTTTGCTGTCTTTCTATCTTCTACCTGCATTAGAGACCTATCTCAATGGGGTTGTATGCTTGGAGATGAATGAAGGCCAAGCTTTTCACTCATTTGTTTGTGTGATTTATGCATGATTTTTTTTTTTTTATGAAGAGGCATCCAAGTTTTCTTTTTGGAATTTCCTTTAAAGGGCCAAAGACAGTTCCTAACTAAATGTTCTTGCTTTAAGATCAACTTCTAGCATACATATTCTTTTAGTGGTTTTGATGCACCTTCTCTTAACCTTCAGAATATGTAACAGTGGAGATGAGGGCGTGGGACCATGACTTAGGCACTCAATCTTTCCAAATTCAATTAATCACCTGAAACCTACCATCGCAGGTTTGTTGGTACAATTCCTTAAAATGCACTGATATTGATTTCGAGTACCTTCTGCAGTGCTTTAACATGTTGCTCGGAGTTGATTTCTCTTCAGTTCTGCTTTCGATGTAGCATTAATTTCTTTTCTTTTGAGGTTTTTCCTGATCTGATAATTGAAGTGTTGGTCTGTTTTTCTGTCGCTTATTTCAATCTTGCTGTAAACTGCTGTAGTTTCTTTTTATTTTTTCAACCAGTCAATTGAATGGTAATTGAGCAAATTCCTTGTGGGTTTTTGGCAGGTTGATGTTGACAGCAGTGGAGCAATTGATTCAGCTCTTGCTCCAACTGTGCACTTGACTGAGTTGCAGAATTCACTGACAAAGATGTTATGGTTACAGAATCGTTGTTTATGTTCAACAAGCCTGCAAATAATTGGCTTAATGAAATCGTGAAAAATTTGCTGCATTGGTGACAAAGGTGATGAAGTAAACCGAAGGAGAACAATGAGAAGCAAAACTAATCCGAGAGATGCTTCATGACTCGCTGCAAATACATATCAAAATCTGTTTGATAAAACAGCAACAGGCAGCTCTTAGGCTTGTAGCAGAAGAAGAGCAAATCCTCCCGCAAAACACAGCCTCCTGATCGAGTAAGTAGACATAAAGAGCTAGAAGCAGAACATAGGAAAATAACTACTGTGATCATGCCGTGGGTTAGCAGAAACAAAAACGAGACCTCAGTCCGATTAAGATTATGACTACAACAACGAGAATCCCTTTCGCCTGAAGGGCATCAGCACTGGATGGATAGCATCATGTTTAAAGAGATCCATGCTTATGTTTGAAAACAGAGAAGAAGAAGATTATTGGGGCCATGCTGGACTGCATTTATTAGGGAGTTAGCTATATAATGATATATTTTCTGTAAACCTGGAAAAGATTAGAGTTTTTGATGTGAGAAACTGGAGGAGATAGTAGGAAATAGATCAGATGAAGAAGGGGTCATGAGTGAAGAAAGCATCAGCAGCAGCACTGAATTCAAACTCTCAAAGTTAAGAAGTATGAGATTGTATGAATTAGCAGAACAGAAAAGCATTTGTAGTTCAAAATTGATTTGCGATTCTATCGAAGCATTTTGGATAAGAAAATGTCAGAAGCTGAAGAGGATGCCATTTTGTCTTCCGTTGCTTGAAAATGCCCAGCCATCTCCTCCCCCTTCTCTTAAGATATCGATATATATCCTAAAGAATGGTGGGGGTCAGTAGTGGAGTGGGAGCATCCTAACACTAAGGCTATCCTTCTTCCCTTTGTAAAGTCTAGTTTTAATTCTTCTGTTTATTTATTATTTGTAGAAATTTTTTTAAGTTGTGTACTTTATTTATATTAATGTTGAATTGGATGATACAGCCTTTTAAAGATGGGATTTCAAATGAGAATTTGATGGGCTTTGAAGTTTCTTGGCTTTTAATTATTTGATAATCTTTAATGATTAAGATGAGAAACCTCTTATTTAATATTGATCCAATGTTTTTTTTAATCGTTGAGCAATATTTTGCTGCAATATTTGCACGAATGGAATGGATGTATGGGAGAGGATATGCTCCTACAGGAAGCAGCATGCTTCAGAAAGTTATTTCACCTGCAAATCTTCAGCACCTTGATAAAGTATACAACTGAATTGGAGCTCATTACGATTGAGGATTGCATAAGCATGGATTAGCTTTGTTTTATCTTCTTTCTGCTTTGCTCCATTATCATTGCCATCTTATAATGGCATATTTTCTGGTCTTAAAAAGTTATATTGCTCTGGATGTAGCAGTATAAAGAAGTTGTTCCCTCTTGTCTTGCTGCCAAACCTCGGAAACCTGGAGAGGATTGAAGTTCAAGGTTGTAAAAGATAGAGGAAGAGGAACAAGATCACATGAAGAAGGGGTATGGGTGAAGAAAGCAACAGCGGCTGCAGCGGGTACTCCATCATAGATCCCATCGGCCGAAGTTTAAGATTTGTGATACTGAAATATTTACAAGAATTGAGAAGCATTTGTAGTGCAAATCTGACATGGGAATCTCTGGGGGAAATTGATGTATGGGATTTGTCCGAAACTGGTATGCTTGACAATGGCATGCCATCTCCGCCCCCTTCTCCTAAAGAATGATTATACATCCAATTTGCATTAGTAGTGATCATTGTTGTCAAGATCGGAAAGATCAGGAATCAGAGTAAACAAACATCCATCCCATCCAGAAGCAAGAACATTAATAAATCCACCAATAACTCAGGTGTAATACATTGAGCCAGATCCCGATAATTTATGACGTTGCCAAAACAGAAAGAGCCAATTATTTCCGTATACAGAAAAAGATCCTGCAAGCTAATAATGTACATGGGCGTCATTCAACAAACATTTACTAATAATACAAAGCTGAGTCAAAGCCGGAAATATTCCCTCAAACTAAAACAATGAAGTAGCATCTATGGCTCAGGGTGAAATAACAAGATTCTAAACTCACGTATACTAGTTGATAGTTCATCTGTGACGGAATTTGGGCCTAACAGTGATCACGCCTGGCCTCGTCTCATCAAATCGATATCTGTGAAAAATGTGTACTAGAATGTGATTTTTTTCCTTTCTAATGTATGAAAAACAGATAGGAAAGAAGGAGGTGAGGGAATCTCTAACCCGTTATCATTGAGGAAACTTTTCACTGCTGTTGGGAGTGCAGCTTGCCCCCGGCTATGGTTGCCTACACCTGTAGTAGAATAGAAGAAAATAAGTGCTGATGCTAGTATATGGTTGGGTGCACGTCTACATGATATGCCTGGGACAGTTTTACAAAACAAGCCCTTTGATATGCATGCGAGCTTGTTATGTGATTTAAGGGCCAATGGTTAACAATTATCGTATCATAACACATTAAACAGTAAGGGGTCATCAATAACAAGGGATGAATCTGAATATTGACCAGATTAACATCCATGTTACTTGATACAGTATACAATTGTCTTAAACTGGACTGAGGTGGATTTAAAGCAATTACTGATAGTTTTTAATGTTCAAATGAACAGAAAAATCCATTAATATTCAGTGAGGGAAGTGATATACCTGTTATGACTTGTAACGATGTTGGCCTCTGTCTAAATGTTGCCTGCTGCTTATCCAAGTTCTCTGCATCTACAGTACTAAAGGCGTCTGATGGTGAAGAATGTAAAATCCCATTCTTTGTTTTTATTCTACATGGAGAAGTTGACCTATTGTTTGGAACCAGGGTCTCAATTTTTAGCAGGTGTTCTTGCAAGGCTTGACCAGCCTCTGCTGCATGAAGACCGTGCAAGTCTAATTTCCATGGATCATTGTCACTATTTCGTATGCTTAAGATTTCCTTGGCTGCCTTAGCATTGAGTTGTTCAGCAGCCGACCATTTCTCTCGAGCTCTCAATGAGTGCTGCTGAGCAGAAAAATGATCCCTTCTTAAAAAGGCACTAGTGGCAGCCCTGGAATGTTGAGATGCTAACCTGTTCAATGGAAGGTTTTGAGAATTCCCAAAATCTAATGTGACCATAATAAAATCAAATAATATATATTTATCATAGGCAATTCCAGACCATAAGTTGAGAAATACTATTTTCTAAAACATTAAAAAGACCAAGAACATGCCAACAGATAAAAGGAATGTGTTTCACGTATTAGTATAACTCAATATAATAAGAGCTGGCATAGCTTCAAAACAAAATGCTCATCATACCTTCAAAATACCAGAAACTATATCTCTATAATTCCAGTATTTTGACAAAGCTTACAAAATAGCTATCTAAGTGGAAACCCTATCTCCCTCCCCCTTTTCCTATGTGACTTTTGACAACGAGACATCCTTTAATTACAAACATGACATCCTTTCAATAAAAAAAATTGAGACTTTCAGGTGTTGCCATTCTTAAAGTTCAATACATCATCATAACAAAAGCAACTCCTCACAAACCAAAGCATTTCAAGATAAATGCTTTACTTTTATGAATCTTAAATCATAATCATGGGAATAATAACGAGGTAATATCAATATGGGCACTTAAATGATGAAGAGAATAAGGTGATGTAACCCAGACAACATAAAGTCGAGCTACACAGCCCCATAGGTTCTAGCTCGGTTGTCTTCAATTGACAAGTATAATAACTACGCTGTTTGATACCTACAGCCTAACAAGGCATTCAATGAAATTCATTTAAAAACAAGTATATCATCCTACTCAGGAACACGCAGAGGGATTGCAAACACTTACCTCATCATTCTCAAAGCATTCTTTCGATGACTCAAGTAAACATCATCCTCTTCCCATTCAGGCTCAACAGGTATAGACTTCAAGTACCCCAAGATCAGTTTCATGTTTGCAGCAGCATCAACTGAAGAGGAAACACCTACATCCTCCCTCAATTCTATGCTGTTATTATCATTGTTATGATCATTACCTTTTAGAGCATCCTCAAGAGTCGAGCTCAAATCAGCAATATCATCAGCAAGACTCTTATTAAAACCAGAGTTAAATTTTGCTCCCTCATCCTCGTCAAAGTCAGCATTAGAAACCATCCCATTCAACAAAACACAAGCCTTTTCAGCATCATTATCCACACTGACCATGACATCCTCAATCAAGCTAAAATCAGCCCAGCCATGAATTTCTTTCAGCCTCTGCAAATCCAATAAAACATTCCCACCATTCTTCTCCTCAATAACCTTATCGGAATCCCTATAACCAGCAGAAAAATCAGCAACTTTGGCGGTCAAATTATTAACATTCTGTGTCTTCAAAGCAGGAAAACCAGCAGAAGCAGGCGGTTGGAGAACAGAAGAGAAAGACTTTGAAGATAAACCACCAACATCATCATTCCTCCTCAAACCCCCAGTAACTGGCAGGTCCCCAATAGCTGGAAAAGGATCCTTACCATCAACTTCACCATCTTTCTGCCTCTGTTTCAAGTCAAAGGCAGCCCACCCAGAGGACTTGACTCTCCTTGATTTATTATTCATTAAAGAAGTAGAATTGCTTGTATATGTATTCATAAATTAACAAGTTTTGAATCAAGAACAACCAAAAGTGATGAAAGTACCTCGTTTTTCCTTATGGGTATCAGAAATACGAAAAAAATAAGAAAAATTGGCTATCCAGGAAGGTTGTTAAAGAAGGTCAAGCAATCAAAGGGTGAAAAAAATGGTGAAGTAGAAAAAGACTCTAAATTTATTGATGTAATAGTCAAATCCAAAGAAAACCTTGTGCTGCTGCTGCTGCTGCTGCTGCTGCTGCTGCTGCTGCTGATTATCATAATATCCATAAATCTGGGTCTTCGTCTTGGGGGTTTTCTGAGACAGGAGGAGGAGGAGGAGGAGGAGGAGGTGTTGTGAGGAAAGGAAAAGAGAGACGGCTCAAATAATAATTTTTTATTGAGTAAATTATAAATTAGTTATTTAGTTTTAAAAAATTACACAGTCCCTTTAGTTTTTATAATTACTTAATAATCCTTTGACTAATGTAAATCAAGTTTAATCAAGTTTTTATAATTATAAATTATTTGATATATTTTTAAGCAAAAAATAATTTTAAAAAATATCTTCCATTATAATATTAAACATTCACTTAATATTTAAATAATACTTAGTTAATATCTTACAAAAAAAAAACAGAAGAAATAAAAGAGACATGTCTTATATATCTTTTATTTAAAAAAATAAAAATTCATCCCAAAAATATTTTAAATACATATTTATTTTATATTTTGATCTATATCTCGACGATTAAACATGTTTAAATCTCTTCTGTATATATCTTTTCTTTCCTATAAAATTAATCAAATACACCTTTTGTTTTTTTTTTAAAAAAAAAAAAACCTTCTTTTCTCTTACAAATTTTCATATTATTTACTTTTCTTTTCATTTTTTTATATTTTTAAAATTAGAAAAAATGAAATGGAAGAAAAGGATAGGATCAAATATATAGTTTTGAACTCATAAGGACTAACTAGATATTTTTAATAAACTACAGGGACTCTGTTTGATAATTAAGTCATTTTTATTTGTGTGTCTGAGGAGCAGGCAGGCAGCAGGGCAAGGTCAAACCTATCACTTGTCGACGGGCCTTCCTCATATATCACAATTATTGTTTTCCTTTTTGTTTTGTTTAAATTTAATTACTTGGGATATTATCTGACCAATTTTCCTTTATTAAATTAAACCTATCTATATTTTAGATCTATTTTTATATTTTTTTTATTGCTTTCTAATTAATTTATTACTGTTTTGTGTTAGATATTCTCATCCTGATAAGAAAATAGATGAAAACAAATGAGAAATATATCAAGATATGCATGAATGTCTCCTCGTTAAATTCCCAATTCATATCACCTTGCAATCTCTTGTGTGATATTTCTAATTTTAATTAATTAAGAAATCAATCGAACAGTATCTTCTCCTGTTCTTGAATAGGAAAACTGAAGAAAAAGAATTAGACAAATAAAATTTTGATTTTATGATTTAAAAATTTAACAATAGATTTTCATATTTGTTTGGTTATTTAAAGAAAGAAATTAATAAATTATCTTAAATATTGGTGTAGATATAATTTAAAACATCTGAAATTAAATAAATACACATTTATGAGTATTTAATTTTATTAAAATATGTGAGGGGGTATAATTTTTATGTAAAATATTCTTACAAAAAAATAAAACAACCATCTAATTTTTTCCTTAAATTTTCCTTAGATTTCATATATAGTGACTTTATTTATTTATAAAATCAAATCAAAATTTATGTTTTGTAAGAATATAAATTTAGATATGAACTATAGAGCAAGATATTATGACCTAATGCTTTAAAGAATATATTTGATTTGCTTTTAAAGTGATGTTAAAAAAATTTTATAAAATTTTTAAACTTGATCTAGTAAAACTTCATGCTTTATAAATTTTAAATATAGATGAAAGAGGGTTGAGAGATTTTGATTATAGTTTTTAAGTATGTATGAAGGAGGCTTTAAAGATTTTGATAGAGATTTTTTGCTTAAAAACAAATTTTATATCTTCTTTAATTTTTTTAATTTATAATAAATTTTTTTATTTATAAAGATTTGTAAAAAGTCTTAAATCCTTTTTAATTGGTTCTAAAAATTTTTGTTTCAACAATTGGTTTCAAAATGTGAGTATAAAAATAATGATAATAACAATGAAGAAGAAAAAGAGAATAAATAAATAAAAAACCTTATCTTTTTAATTACTAAATGAATTACTTAATACTATATAAATAGATAAATAGAGAAGAGCTTTAATATTAATTATTCAATTAATCAAGAAATCATAGAGTAGTTTTCTTTCCAGAAAGCATATAATATAGCGTTATTACAAGACCACAAGGATGTCTTCTGGTGAGGGATTTTTGAATACGGTGTCGTTGGCAAGCCAAAAGCTGAGGGAGCGTGCAGCGGTTTTCAAAGAGGAAGCAAGAAAGCCAAGCTATTGGTTTGAATGGAGGAGGTGACAATGCATGATGGAGATCATCACCATGGTGAGTGGAAAACATGCATGGCAGTCGGCACTGTGGTTGCTGGCTTGCCTTGCTCTCTTAAGCTTCGTAAGACTTTGCATTATACAGTGGCTTGAGAGGAATTTGGCTTGCCCCTCCTGTCGCTTCAAGTTGCCAATCTAATAGATTTTGGCTTTGCCATAGTTTTTTATTTAATTAAATCCTATTTATTTTTAAGTTTTAAAAATATTTTTAAAAAAAATAAAGTTTTTTTTATATTTTTTATTTTAAGTTAATATTTTTTTAATATTTTTAAATTATTCTGATACACTGTTATTAAAAAATATTTAAAAAAATATTATTTTAATAAATTTTAAAATAAAAAAATAACCATAATTACACTTCTAAATAGTTTCTTAATCTTTGAAAAACTTTAATTTTCCAAACAAACTCTTAAAAAAATATTATTTTAATGAATTTTTAAGTAAAAAATTTTAAAAAATAACCGTAATTATACTTTTAAATAACTATTAATATTCTTTGGCAAAAAGATTTATGTTGATTAATGGATTTAAGTTTGGTGTGTCTAGTAAATTGAGCTAGATAAATTGCTTTTTTTGTGTTTTAATGTTGATTTAAAAAAAATTTATAAAAAAGATTTAACTATTACTACTTTATTTTTAATAAATAAAAAAAATTCTAGGTTAAACAACAAGAGCCGAGATCATCAATTTGTCTCATCAAATACTTCCACGGTAGCGATTTTCACTCCATGTTTATATGATACCATGAGAGAGTTGGTTTTTGTCGATAAGAAGCACAATTCAATGTCTTTTTTTCACTTCGTTTTGGTTTCTGAATAGATTCTTATACTTCAATCAAACATTCTCCAATTGCCTTGCAAAATGCCTTCAATTGGCCGGCTAATAAATTAATTAGCATACATGCATACACTAGCTTAGTTATCCCCTGTGTGTGTGTGTGTGTCAGCAGTTATTATGTACAATTTTCTGTACGGTTGGGGGGTTAATGTGCCCATTATGCATCATCTTCCGACCTTTTATTCCCCCCTTCAAGATATTATAAAGAAAGTTAAATGATACGGGGATGTTATCATAATTTTAGATATTGATTATTGTAAATTGTGACAATAAAATTTATATAAATATATTTTAGTATTTTCATGTTTTTATTTTAAAAATTATTGACATGTGTTCTATATGTCTCTATCAATAAGTAATATTTATATTAATAAAAAATTACATGATATATTTTTTAATGACCAAATTTAGTCATTTATAATCTAAATAGATGAGCAAATATGTTCTATTTAATATAATACGATGCATATAAATATATCATGATTAAATTATTAGTGATAATTTATTTTTTATATTTTTTTAAATTTTTTTTTTAACAATTAAAATATCTAATTATTTTTCAAAGTATTTGAGTATGACATTATGGTTTAAAATATTTTTTATACTCAATATTTTTTAACAATATACTTAGTATCTTCCAATTCTTTATCAGCATCTAGGTTTCAATCTAATGGCATTTTTCCCGTCAGCTCCTCCAACTATGTTCACCCTACATCCTTCTAATTTTATGAAAAGCAATTATATTTTATCAAACAAATATATCTTGAACGTGGAAAACAGGAAGGCAAAATCAGCAAATGCATGCATTGGGCGCTTGCCATGTGCAAGGAAACCATGTTGACGCATTAATCAAACTACTAAATCTTTAGGAAGATCTTGCCTTTTCATTTACATTGCTATTTTTTTTTTTTCATTTTTCTTGGTCTAGATCCATCTTCTTTCAAGCTTACCCCCCTTCACGTTATTCTAAAGTTCATATCATAGTTATAAATTTGATGTGTTAATTTAATATTTGATTAATTTAAAATTTTAATTAGTTTAGATTAAAAATCTAATCTGATAAAAAACTCAAATCGATTTAAAATCTAATCAACCTCCATAAAATCTGAAATGACCCCTTACCTGTTTTTATATCTATGATCTAAACAATTTCTAAATGTAGGGCATGCATGTTGGATCAACCAAATCCACACAAATGTACCTTTGGTTTTCGACATTCTGTTTGTTGCCTTGTTTTGTCAAATATTTGTTATATCCCATCATTCTTCTTCACTTAATTTGTTCAACATTCACTCAATGATATCGCTTGTTCTTATTTTTGGGGTAATGCCTCCAATAATTGTACATCACTATCTTCGTTGTTGCTTCTTCTTTCTTTCCTCTTGCTTTTGTTCTAATCATTGTCAGTTAAATTGAAAAGTAGTAGTTGTTTATTTAGAACAACTACTTTAAATCATAAACTGTATAAATAAAATGTTTTTGATTGATCTGTAACAAAAAAAAAAATGTATAGAAAAAGCATATTTCCATATTAGATTAAACTTTATTAAAAGGTTTCTTGATGAACCAGTATCCAAGACATCATAATTATATCAATCATCACTGCAATTATTGGGTCGAAATTTGAGGGAATGTATCAGAATAGAACCATCTTATTCATAGTATAATCTTGAAGCTTTAGCTATGTGATGTTTTAATTGCAATTCACTTCATTATTTGAAATCCAAATCTTAAAAAATTATTGAGAATTAATCTTTTATAAACATAAAAGTTTGGACATGAATAATCTATTAAAAATAAATAAAAAATGCAACATAGAAACTAGGATCATGCACTTCCACTGTAAAAAGAATATATAATAATAATAATTGAGTAAATGAACTATTATTTTAGTCGATAAATTATTTTAATTTAAAATTTAAAATTGATAAACAAAATTTTAAAAATAGTTTTGTATAAAATTATAATTAAGTTATGCTATTTTTTTAATTTAATTTACAAAATAAAAGTATTAAGTACAAAATAGTTTTTATGAAGTTTTTAATATCATTTCAGATATTTATTTCACTACAAAATCTTATCAATGAAATCAATTTTAATAATGATTTTATATTATTTTTTTATGAAATATTTAAAAATATAGTAGCGGTTGTTTTTCAAAATATTTTTCACTTAAAAATATATCAAAATAATATATTTTTATTTTAGAAAAATTATTTTTGACGTTAATTAGTACATTGAAATATATAAAAAAATAAAAGAATTATTTTAAAAATATTTTTAAAAGAATGTGTATCATGACATTTCTGCTGCGTGTCTTCCACGAATTTTCTATCATATTACCTCTCACTTTCATGTTATCATTGAAAAACGGACATAAAGTGTGGACAATTGTTTATAATTGTCCACATGCAAACAATTAGCGATATAAATAGAGGACAATGGCCACCCACACTCTAGTACTACAACGCCCGAAAAAGATTAAGAAATATGAAACCATTATCAATTTTTAGAACCCTCTCCATGGGGGTTCCTGCGAGGCTATCGGCTTTTTCCGCAGGCGCTCCTTTGCCTATCATAACCCCATTTCACCACCACCTCACGGCAGAGTTAGTAACCCTTTTACCACCACCTGTTTCTGATCAGCATTGGCTATGTCATGCCCTTGATGCATCAATCAACACCCAGAAGATAGCACTGGAGTCAGTCAAGAACACCACTATTGGCGATGCCTTGTATCGACAAGAATCAAGTCAAAAATCCATTGAGGAATATCTTGATGGTGGCAGCATCAAATTGCTTGATTCATGCAATGAAGTGCTGGAGAAAATACAAGTTATTCATGAATTTGTAAAGTCATTAAAGGTAGTTTTACATTTGCTTCATCAAGGAAAATGTGAGCCCAGTCCAATAACTTCAGCTCGTGCAAGAAACATGTTAGAAGAGACATGTGATGTTATGGAAAGGAGGATGAATGAAGACATGAAAAATCACAAGTCCAGATCAGGTTGGAGCAGCTTGAAGAAATTATCGAGTAGAAAAAAGCTAGCCCACTACGGTTCAGAAAACAATCAGGAAATGGGAG